CCCCTTGATCGATTATAAATGATTATTTTCATATCTTACACTGATCGCTGTCTCTCTTCCTCCATGTTTTCTGTTGTTCTTACCCCTGGACAGGGATGTATGGTTATTTGTCGATTATTGCAATCGGTTTCCCCTTTCTTCCTTCCTTTCCCCCCCTTATCCCTACCCTTCTGGTATCACTATTACCACTTCTGTTCTGGGATTCCGTGTGTCGTGAGCCCCATCTCTTTTCAGAACCTACGTATATGCTCTGGTCTAGTTTGAATTGAGAAGCAGTACTGGGGTCATGATAGTGGGGGGTAAGGAAGCCTCAAGGAACCAGAGGAATATAGTGTGTTTCATCGATGCTTTATTGCACCCTGGTTGATTCATCCCTTCCCTGTGCCCCCTCTGTGGGGGGATTGTTTCATTGTCTACAGATGAGTTTTGGGTCTCTGCTCCGCCCCCACTCATTCTCAACTTTGTTTTTGTTTGTTGGTTTGCTTGTTATGGTGTCTGCTGATGCCTATTACCTGGTCCCTCCCAATGACTTCTCATGATCTCACCAGCAGTGTGCTTCTTTGATGTGGGCTTGTTGCTTCTCTACTGAATGGCCACTTGTTTAACTTCAAGCCTTTGAGACCCCAGATGCTATATATTTTTAGAGCTGGGCAGCATCCGCCTTCTTCACCACATTTGCTTATGCACCTGTTTTGTCTTCAGCAATTATGTAGGGAGGGTGAGCATCTCAGAATGCTGATTTGTTAGAAAAAAGTGTTCTTGTATTGAGGGAGGTTGGGAGCAGAGGCATGAAGTCTATCTACTTCCTCAGTGTATTGCCATATAAATATATGTACATAGGCCAATACCTCTATTTTTGTGAATTAATGTATTTAAATCTGTACACACCTATGCTTATACCTCTACCCATTGCTTTGCTTACTAGGTCCTTCCTCTGTTTCCTTTTACCTTCCTCCTGTCCCACCATCACTTTCCCCCTATTTCTGCCTCTTAGAACTTCCTCTTAGCTAATTTGCTCTGATATCCCCAGATCTTTAGCTCTTCCATGTTGTTGACTCTAATTCCCTAGTTGTTCCCCTGTCTATGGTGCTGCCTGCTCACCACACCCTTCCACCACCATCCTCACCCCGCAGGTCTCCCCAGACCGGTGGTCCCGCTGCTTTATCCTTGGACTTGCTTCCCATGCCTGTCTTATGTAAGTAGGCAAACCGACTATGACATAGATCAAACAAAAAGAAAACAAAAGATTGAAAGAAGGAGAGGAGGGAAAAAAAGGAGAAAAATATACATAATTCCAGGTCTGTTCGCTGACCTTCATGACTATCTCCCCACTGGTTCTGGGGGATCTCTGGGAACTGCCCCTCCCAGGCTGAAGTCCATTTTGGGGGCTCTTCAGGGGCTTCGTAGCTTTGCTTTGCTCCAGTTGCTGATCTGTTATGTTCCCGTCTTGGTTCGCCCTGCTGTGGGGGTTTAGCTTGCACCACCTCCCCGCCGTGTGACCCCAGCATTGTCCTCTGTCACAGTCTGCTCCAGTAAGGGGACAACATGAC